TTCTTTAGCTGTTTCAAGTTTTGTGCTTGTTCTTTAGCTGTTTCATACTTAAATGATATTTAACTAAGGGACAACATAAAAGTTTCTACCAATAATCTGTATATTTTCTTGTGTTTCTTAACATTATCTCTTAATCAAAAAATAATAATAAAAAATGCTAAGAGACATAAAATTTGTCCCTGCAATAATGTTGCCCTTAGGGGATGTTCTTATAATTACAAAGGACATTGATTATTTTTGATAATCGATATTTATCCATACCTATAACATTAATGTAATACTTTTAATAGCAAGAATTTATCAATTGCTAGGAGAGGGACGAAGCACCCATGAATGTTCTATTTTCTGGAAAAGAATATACTTTAACTAATTTTTTATGCGTCATTGTAATTTGTAATTTACATTGATTATAATGTTTGCGCACCCATTCTAAAATATCTAAATTCGTCAAACTTAGAAAAAGTCCATGGTTTTTCTTTTATAATCACAAAGATAGGTCATCGATACAATGATACTAATCATAGATTATTAAAAGGTAAAGAAACTACGTGCAGACCATAACATACTAAGAAGAAAAAGAAAGAGAAGTTTAAGACAGTGATGCATGGAAACTGAAATCAAATAAACAAAATGTGGATATACTCTTAAGATGCCGTAGACTGCTTCTCCTATATCCTCTATAAATTTTCCGGTGTCTGTGGCATCAAAACCACAACCACTTCTCTTTACCTTTTTCTCTCTTGCCACGTCCTTCTCTGCCGCCACCGCTAACACAACGTGACGGTAAGCTTAGTTACAAATTTAGCACACACGCATACATATATGATGTTATGAATAAATGCATAATCAAAACTTTTGTTTGCACTCGCTTATAACTATTTGGTTATGTGAATTACAATTAAAGATCTCTTACAGTTATCTTGAATTAAAAAATATCTCATAAGTCTTGATTATATTAGCATTAAAAAATAAAATACATACGAAAAGTGAAAAACAAATACACAATATTAACTTTTTCACTGCATGCATGAAAACAGGAGAGACAAAGAGGTTAAGATGGCAGAACAACAACTAGGAGTGCTAAAGGCACTCGATGTTGCGAAAACGCAACTTTACCATTTCACGGCGATTGTCATCGCCGGTATGGGTTTCTTTACTGATGCATACGATCTCTTCTGCGTCTCCTTGGTGACCAAACTTCTTGGCCGCCTCTACTACTTCAATCCGTTGTCAGAAAAGCCTGGTTCACTTCCACCCCATGTTGCAGCTGCGGTCAATGGTGTTGCTCTCTGTGGGACTCTTGCTGGTCAACTTTTCTTCGGATGGCTCGGTGATAAGCTCGGAAGGAAAAAAGTGTATGGTATCACTTTGATCATGATGATCGTGTGCTCAGTGGCTTCCGGTCTCTCCTTCGGTAGCAAAGCCAAGGGTGTCATGACAACTCTTTGCTTCTTCAGGTACAATTATCATCATATAGTCACATATAGTTTTGAGATACATATTCGCATGTTATACAAAATTAGTCAGGTTCATAATTCATGTGTACTTGAAAAATATATAGCCACACAAATTAACTTATATATGCAATCAATTTGGTTCAGGTTTTGGTTGGGATTCGGTATTGGAGGCGACTACCCTCTTTCTGCCACCATTATGTCCGAATATGCTAACAAGAAGACTCGTGGTGCTTTCATCGCTGCTGTGTTTGCCATGCAAGGTGTTGGTATCTTAGCTGGAGGTTTTGTGGCGCTTGCTGTCTCTACCATTTTTGACAAAAATTTCCCAGCTCCTACCTATGCAGTCGACAGGGCTCTCTCAACCCCTCCACAAGCTGATTACATTTGGCGAATTATCGTTATGTTTGGTGCTCTACCCGCTGCCTTGACGTACTACTGGCGTATGAAGATGCCCGAAACTGCTCGTTACACCGCTTTGGTGGCAAAAAACATCAAACAAGCAACACAAGACATGTCCAGGGTCTTACAAGTGGACATTGAGATGGAGGAAAGAGCAGAGGAAATCGTGCAAGATCCTAGACTTAACTATGGCTTGTTCTCCAAGGAATTTGCCAAACGCCATGGTCTTCCCCTCCTCGGATGTACCTCCACTTGGTTCTTGCTTGACATTGCATTTTACAGCCAAAACTTGTTCCAAAAAGATATTTTCTCGGCTATCGGATGGATCCCTAAGGCAGCAACCATGAACGCAATCCACGAGGTCTTCATGATCGCTAGGGCACAAACACTCATTGCGCTTTGCAGTACAGTCCCCGGCTACTGGTTCACGGTTGCATTTATTGATATCATGGGAAGATTTGCGATTCAGCTAATGGGATTCTTCATGATGACCATCTTTATGTTTGCCATCGCCTTCCCATACGACCATTGGATCAAACCAGACAACCGCATCGGCTTCGTTGTTATGTACTCTCTCACCTTTTTCTTTGCCAATTTCGGTCCAAACGCGACCACCTTCATTGTACCGGCTGAAATCTTCCCGGCTAGACTAAGGTCCACATGCCATGGAATATCAGCTGCCACAGGTAAGGCTGGAGCCATAGTGGGTGCTTTTGGTTTCCTATACGCGGCTCAGCCACAGGACAAGACCAAGACGGATGCAGGATATCCACCGGGCATTGGAGTCAAGAACTCTTTGATCATGCTTGGTGTCATTAACTTTGTTGGTATGCTCTTCACCTTCCTTGTCCCTGAGCCCAAGGGTAAATCCCTTGAAGAGCTCTCCGGTGAGACTGAGGCTGAGAAATGATCAAATGAGATGTAATATTGTTTTTTTTGGTTTGTTTGAACTTTTTTTTTTCAAATTTATTTTCCCTTTGCGTGATGCACTACAAATGGATGTTTGTGATGTAAATTACTTCAATTTGTTACTTCCCTAAACGAAAATCTTGTAATCCACCCTATTTTCTAACCACCAATGTCCAAATAACCTTTCATCGCTAAAATCTTTTGAGATATGAATCCAGGTGATAATTAATCAATCAAGGTGATAATTATTACATAGTTTGGGAAAGAATATAATAACAAATCCGTACATGTTTTGTCACCTAGATTCAAAAAGGATAATATCATTAATATAGAGTTAGAATATCATTGATATAAAATATTGAACTTGATTTGTATTAGAGATAATATATCCCACAACGAATTATATATTACTGGATTGGTTATAACCATTTATATATTAGTTAAGGTTCCGATGTGGGATATATTATCCCTAATATTCTCAAGATGATGGCTCTTACCTACCAGAAATCTCGAAATTTTAAGACAGTTATACTCAGTCGAGCGAGGCAAGTACGAAAATTATTCCTAGTCGGAAGGTTAAACACGACATATATACCCGATCGGAAGGTTAATCAATTAATTAGGAATTTAGGACTTTTTAGGATCTAAGTTCTGATACCATATTAGATTCAGGTTTATTATGTGTTTTTAACTTAAAATCAATTGGTGATTACTGTCTTGGTTCTCTAATCCTTTATATATTATTTAAGATCCCTTTGATTTTCCGATGTATGATGTATTATCCCTAATAATTGCCATCAGAATTTTGGTCAATATGTAGCGCAATATAGTAAATACTATACAATTTAATAATGTTAGAACTATGAATATAGAGAGAAATGGTCGTATTGACTTGATAAATAATACATTGTACAAAGAGGATATACTGTATATACAACGTGAGAGAGCTTTAGAAGATATCGATTATCTGTACAAAATATTAGTGTAATATCTTCTAACCATAATAACTAGATACGATCGAGATATGTTAGTATCCCAAAATGAACATTCGGAGGAAAGTCCAATCTTGGAAGAATAAGCCTCAAGAAGAGATAGCGAGACAGGTTTCGTTAAGGCGTCAGCTAACTGGTCTTTAGTAGTAGATACGTGCGCAACACAAAGAAAGTCAAGATGTACGAACTCCTTAGTGAAGTGATAATCTAGAGCAACATGTTTCATTCGCAAATGAAAGACCGGATTGGCTATTAAATATGTTTCTCCAACATTGTTGCAATATACTGTTGGTTGAGCTGCTGATTTGATACCCTACTCGTAGACCAGCAATGATATCCAACAAAGTTCTGAGGCTGTGTCTGGTACAGTTCGATACTCGCTTCGGTTGATGAGCATGATAATGTTTTCTGCTTTTTTCAAGGACCAAGCAACAGGATTCGCTCATGTGTTATGCCGCTTACTTCTGAGCCTCTAGAGATTACGTTGATTATCCTATCCTATCGAAATGGTGTGGCAGGGGAAGTTCCCACTGGTTAGCTTGTCGCCTCCTTGTTGAGGAGATTCTTGCCTTGTATGAGAGGAATTTCCAGAGGTTTCTTTTCTTTAATAATTCGTTCCATTTTGTGATTGTGGTCATTATGAAAATTGCACCACAAGTTTGGGTTCCAGATGATCTCTGAGCTCACATGACCTAGGGCCCATCCGCCTCAAAACATTAACCAATTCCGGCCTTGAGATGGGCATGTGAGAGATATCTGGGGAACACTCTCTGCCTGTTTGGTCCACATGGTTGGCAGGATTGTTGGTTCCGTCATACCAAAGGAGTTTTAAGAGGATTTGAAGAAATTATTTTCTTCTCTTCTAATCCTAAAACCTAAAATAAAAGAAAGCTAAAAGAATTGCATCTAAACAATGATTTGAAGAAACATAAAAATAGAGTTAGGAGTCGGTAAAGGATCTTTTATAAATAAGAGAAACTTTGGGGTTAAGTTACAATTCTGGAAAATTCATTAAAGTACGTTGGTTTGTTGATTTGGAGGAGTGTCGATCGTCATCCAAGTTGGTGTCGCTCGATGCCCCTTGAATCTCTTAATTTCTGGACAGCTTCTTCTCACGAGTCAAACGGACCACTTTTCAGTAAAACATGCATATAACTTTTGATCTAGAATCCTGATTGACCTCAAACCGATGGAATTGGAAAAGTAGTTCAAAGATATACCTTGTTTCTAAATATAAGATCAATCTAACCATGGGAAGATCTCATTCCATACCTAAACTTCTGACGCATCTGCATAATTTTGCACCTCAAACAGTTCTAAAATCTCCAAAAAATTTCAAAACGTACATGAACCTAGTGTAACACAAAACAACACCAAAACTACTCCAAACACATATAATATATTCTAAATAGGAATTACACATTGGCCTAAAAGTGGTAAAAAAATGATATATCACAGCGATTACAGGAAAGTAGTCGGATAGGGTTTCAGCTCTTCAGTGATGAGCTTGTTTTGTAGTATTTTAGATTTTGAACCTCTTTCTGGCTGAACCCATTAGAGGATTTTGTTTATTTGGGCTTTTTATTTTTATTTTGTTTATTTTAGTTTTATCTTTTAGTACCTATTGTACGACAAAACAAAAATAAAATAATGAAAGCTTTTAAAAAATATTTAACTTGGGCATTTGAAAGAGCTTAGCTATCGTTTGTGGATTTATTAATTGTTAATGTATGTCCAAGGGGGAGGGGAAAGGGGGAGAGAAAGAGAGAGAAGAGTGTTTATGTTATTAAAAATGTCTATCTTACAATACTAAAAGTTGAATATAATCAACTCTCAACATGTCTACCTCAGCATATTAAATCAACTAATCATAAAAATTTATTTTGCATGTCATCATGTTTTATATGGATACATATTTACGCGGGCTTTTCATTAAGGGCTTATAACATTGTCCTAGCTCAATTTCCAACTGTATCGCTCGCCTCTTCCACTTCATCATTGTCGTTCCAGGTTTCGCAAGTCAGCGTTTCGTGGAGTTATTACGAGCCATGCTAAACTTCTACCGAATGTTTGCTCCAACTACAACCATGTAGAAACTCCTCACCTTCCCCCTTTCCATATTCTCACTATATAAGTCCACTGTGATATTCAGTATCAAAATATTCCTCATCGTTTGATCTCTGGTACTTCCAAATCACAAGTTCTCTCCATCGCCTCCGATCTTGGTTACATTTGCACTCCTCCACCATATTGGATAACATTCCAATCGCTTCTCTAATTCAATAGCTCATAAATTGAATATAATCAGCACAGGAATTTGGTTTCAGAATTCTTTGATTGGCTGACTATAGTACCCACTATGGATGCTGATGTTAGAATTATTTGGAGAACAAAGGATATGTGATTTGTAATTTTAACTAAATTCTAAATCTTTCCTACGAAAATTGAATATGAATCTGCCCTTAACTAGAGAAGACGAATGGTTATTTATTTGTGTAATGAGCTACATTTGTGATCCTTTGTATTCATATAATTTAACTAATTGAATCAAAATACATTACATCTCTAATTTATTATTAACTAGGGTTAGCCCGCCCGTATAGTAAAAACTACTTAACATAAATTTATATTACTTTTGAAATATGTATTTTTCTTATGTTTTTTTTTGTAGTTTTCCTCAATATTTTTTTAGTTTTTGGGCTTAAATTTAAGAATCGAAAACTGTTAAATTCATCTTTTTGGTGATTTCGCTTTGATGAAACATAAAATAAATATTGTTGACGAATCTTTTAAATTTTTATTCTTTATGAGTTTTGCGTGTATATATATATTTTTTTTATATTATGTATTTTTGGTTTTGTTGTGCATTTCATTGAATATAATTATTTATTTTTATTGAGATTTTAAAAAATAATTAACTTTAATTATATATTTTTTGGTCGTGGGTTTTCATAATTTCAATTTCTCTAAGTTTGAATTTAGTGATCCAAAAATTTTCATTGTATCAACTATTTAAAACTGAAATATCATAGTACATATATTTTTCATTATTATAGCTTATAAAAATTATCTTTTTATTTTTTAAATTTAACTATTATTAGATTATATTATGTATTTTGACAGTAGTAGAGGAATAGAATTTGATTTGTTTCGTTTGAAATATTGTGATGATGGTTTATGTGGATTATTGATTTGTTAACTCTCATTTCCATTTTGTTTCTTTTAGTATTTATTTCTTATTGGAGTTTTGTTAACTCTCTCACTCCTCTGTTTTCCTTGAGATGACTTTCTCGTTCAAAAAAACTATGTAATATTTCTTGAGAACCTTGATTATTATATATACCGTAACTTTGGTTAATAGGGAGCACCAGAGAACTTGGTTGATGAGGAGAAAGTGGATGAATTGATAGCATACCATGGTCACTTTTTAATAACTCCGTCGAATGAATTGAGCGAGAGACGTTCAGACGGAGGTTACATGACATACCCCAGAAAAAGAACTTGTGACAACATAGATTAGGCTTCATCTTCTTCTCTCTGCAGAATAAGTCTACTAAGAAAGTGATATGCCCAGAGTACCATTGGAATTTGTAGGACAAATGAAAAGGACAACAGTTGATAGGAGGAAGCAAAATGAAAGGGGTTAGAAACAAAGAAGATTCAAGATAGTTTAGAGTAAATACTCGGTGCCGAAAGAATAATTCTATATTAAATAATGTATTCAGCTTAATAGCAGTACGTTTTCATTTGGCTACATTAGTAGTATTTACATTGCTGAAAAGAATGTAATTGATAACAATTATCATAACATTTTTCTTTGTCGACTTTTTTGTATTAAGCCTTAAAAGCCAATCTAAAGTACAAATAGTTCAAGCCCAAGAGTTTACAATTGCATTCAGCCCAATGAAGCCTGTAAAATGAAATAAGAATGATAGCATAATCTCCACGTGTTGTTACGTGGCTTATACTCCTCGTGAAACAAAGATCGAGATTTTCACTGAACTCTTGCCGGTCGGACGTCTCTATTGTCGTTCTCCAATCCCGTTTTGCTTGATAACATTATATTAAAAAAAAAACAAAAAAAAATTATCATATCGAAAATATCTATTTCTTTCTTACATCTATTTCTCCTCTCTTCTCCCCATTGCTATTTTGTTCTTCTAATTCTA